AATATCCGTCTGAATTCTGGACTGTGGTCATATTTTTCGATTAGGAGTCGTATATTTAAATAACTCACCGTGACTAATGTTTTGCATTATGAAGTATATTTTTATGAAGGTCAACACACTGTACTTTAGGTAAATATTTACCATCTCGTTATTTCATTATTTTGCTTTCCAGCATTTACAGGAAACGCTTCATTCTAGAAAATGCTATCGCAAAACTGTTGGAAATAATAAATGTAACAGCAGAATACGTCCTAGCACAGTCACTCGACTAGGAGAGTGATTGTGGTCCTAGTAATAAACTAAGTGACTTCCAAAAACTGAATGGTGTTTGCGAACTTCGTATTAGTTATAAACCGACGTTAGCTTCACGTTTATGTCACACCATGGAAACAGCCAAAAACATGGTGCTTGTTTTTGAGCGGAGCGGATCGCCAACCAGCCTACCGGCTTGTATCTGTATTATGCACTGGATTTTGCTTTTGTAGGTAAAGGTCATGTGGCAGAAACGCTTGAGCTTGAGAAGACGCGTAAAGCCATATGACCAAGGGCAACATAAGCTGTATTCAGTCCATAAAGGCACGTTTTATTATAACCTTACAGTTATGTAATTACAATTTAGAATGAAGTGTTTTGTTTTGATCAATGGAAACACGCTGGTTCAGGCGTGATACAGGAAACTATAATTGCCCTAATGTGACACACACCTTCCCATAGCATTACAAGGCTGGACAATACTAGATATATGATAGTGTTTTTCAAAAGCAAAAAATTGCATAACGATAGTGACCAACATTACTGAGCACCATTACCAGATTCTTTTGTTATTATTCCCTATAGACTTACTTCCATTTTTCTTTGTTTATACTGAATCCACATCCAGATAAGAGACACAATTTATCCTACTAAGGTACCCTTCATAAATGTTGCTTCACTAAGGAATTAATTTTTTGACACACCTAGTACCCTTTATAAATGTTATTTCACTAGGGATTTCATTTTTTAGACACACCTAGGTACCCTTTTAAAAACATTTTTTTTTTAAAGTTTTTTGTGCCAGGCGACAGTTCTGGACATTGAGTGTCACTGTTGTCTCTCCAAACTTTCTTTTTAAGTGCTAGTGCTGAATTTTGCCATATAAGTCATATTCATGTTTGGGATTACATGACAGGGCTGTGTGACCATTTCCCTATCAAATGGCAATTTCAATGTGCTATCCTGGCATCAACCAGGCTCGGTCCAACACAAGCACCTTAACCAAGGTTCCACCAAAGGCGCATTCGTTTAGTGAATAAATCTTGGTCAGTGGAATTGGCTTTCCCATTGAGTCTGTGGCACACTCACCCAAGGTAGGGGTTGACCCTTTTGATGTTCCACTATGCTACCAGTGACCGGTTATAAACATTATTTCACAAGAAAGTTTTTTAGATTTTTTAAATACACATTTTTACTGTAGTTAAAAACAAAATTTGTTTCTTTTTTTTTCCAATATTATATTTTTTTTGTTCAGTTGTTATTAATTTATAACCTATGCTTGTTCACTAGTTAATTAACTCTTTTAAATTTGCTCTGTTTATTATTTTCATTCTTCATATGACCTCATTAATATGCATAAACTGTAATATCTTAAGCACTGTTGCAGGTAGCAACATGCAATCAGTACTATTGTGAAGAGAAGTGACAAGTGATATGACTGAAATATTAGATGACCATATATGGTTATGTGACTTTATTAATATGCATAACTATTATTCCAAGCATTGTTATATTGAAGGCATTGGACAAGAGGCATGACCATACATGATTATAGGATCTCATTTACTATGCTAACACATTCACAGAAATTAGAGCATGCACAACAAACTGTAATGTATATTTCACATTTAGCCATGATGATGCGAAGCCGGTCATTGCTGCTATATATTTATCAAATATTTGTTGCTTTATTACCTAATTAATATATTTTATATCCTGCGAGAACCAAACCCGTACCAGACATGGTAGGCTTACCTTGCATATATTACACTAATGAAGAGGAATACAGCAGCAAATGATGCAGTGACAAGTTCCATATACTGGCCAGTAAATGATGTTGCCGAAGGAACACAGGAAGTGATTTCCTCAATAGAAATTGTCTGATTACTTGTGCTATTGAAACCAACTGTAATATGTTCTGTAAGAAATAAACAATACAAGATGACCACAAATATAACATTTCTTTTGCCACAAAATGTCATCTGGCATACTGAATGTTACCCTCCCCTTTTACTCACCAATGTCAACAGACCTACTGGACATTACCCTCCCCTTTTATTTACCAATGTCATCTGACATACTGGACAGTACCTCCCCTTTTACTCATCAATGTCATCTGGAATACTGAATGTTACCCTCCCCTTTTACTCACCAGTGTCAACAGACCTACTGGACATTACCCTCCTCTTTTATTTACCAATGTCATCTGACATACTGGACAGTACCTCCCCTTTTACTCATCAATGTCATCTGGAATACTGAATGTTACCCTCCCCTTTTACTCACCAATGTCAACAAACCTACTGGACATTACCCTCCCCTTTTATTTACCAATGTCATCAGACATACTGGACAGTACCTCCCCTTTTACTCATCAATGTCATCTGGAATACTGAATGTTACCCTCCCCTTTTACTCACAAATGTCAACAGACCTACTGGACATTACCCTCCCCTTTTACTCACCAATGTCATCTGGCATACTGGATGCTGCAGCAAATGTTAGATACATCATATAGACTGAGACAATTCCTACTTGTAGTAAGTTAGATTTTGGTTGAACTGAAAGAACATGTGATAGTGCACACTGTTACATTGTACATATCTACAAAATAGACACAGGAAAAATATATATTTATATTTATATCAGAAATTGAATGCAGACATATTCATGAAATTGTACAGTAAAGTGTAATGCAGTGAAAAGTTCATTATATTACATGTAGATATTAAATTGTTGTCACAACACATAGTGTGTACTCACCCTTTTGTATTGGTGGAAGTACTGTCAAGAATGTCATCACAACACATAGTATACCATTAGCAGAGATAAATACTTTTGTGAGGTAGCATCCCTCTATGTGTCTTGTGAAATAAATTACAAGGAAAACAAACCCAGCAATGGCCACTCCGAATATTATAATGGTGATTACCACAAGTGCTGAAAATAAAAAATATTTATTTATTATTGTGTGGGATTGTAAATGATTTTATTTTGAACACTACTGTAAAAGGGTCAATTATTCACTAGGTTTTAATTTTGCTTATTTCGCTGACTAGAAAATGCGCTAAATTAAAACCCAGTGAATATGTGAAATTTAGCATAGAACACATTATCTAAATGATAAAACCGTGAATTTATAGAAGATGCCACTGAAGATGCCTGATATGTTGAAACCCAGTGAAAATTAATCATTTCACAGTACTTAAGTACATGTAGCTGAATAAAATATATCCCATAATGCATTGTTGTTGTTAAAACCAAAATGGTAGGCAGAGCTACCACTGATGTGCAGATTTCACACAATAATTACAATTTGCAGCATTATATACTAAATATTTCAAATAAGACAAGTTTGCCGAATCCCAAGTGGCAGTCTGAAGTTGTATTTGAACTTTTGTACATCCAGATTGGCTCTATATCTACGAATAAGTCTTTTATAATGACTTTAATTGAGTAGGAAATAGGTGTCATAAAAACAGAAAAATACATTATTTTAAAACATTCTTCAAATTTAGATTATTTATTTCAACTGCACATTGGGTCTGTTTACATGTACGTCCAGCAAATGCCCCATTTTGTATCCACCTTGTGCTAAGAGCAGTCATCACATGATGTGATACAATTACTGATTTCTCCTTTCAATAGCGACAGACAAATATGTTTTATGTGAACATTTCTGGAACAATTTAGTCACATTTGTCAAGTTAGATGACACAGATATGATAAATAGTGATCATAATCAGAAAATATGCCAATATTTAGTATTTTTAAAATAAATAGACTATGGTGAAAGATGTACTGTACTTTCGTTGCTCAAACCTTTTTTTAAATAAAAGATGCTAATAAGCAATATTGGGTGAACTTACCAAGGTACCAGCACTTGTTCTTATCCGCTCGTTTGGACCTGAGTTTTAACAAAATAATAATTGATATACATATGATATGATTGTGTTGTTGTGTACTCATGAATCAAGATATTATTGTAATAAATCTTACTTGTTACTATTATGTATTCATCAATTAACACTGGAATTTACTTTATTTTACCCAACTAGGAATTTACATTGGATACAAATTATCTCCTTTTACAGTCATATCTAGGATTTAAAATGGCAATCCCTAAATATAGATTTGAAGTTTTAAAATGCACTAAATTAATATTGTGATTAAGATGAAGAGTTGGTTGTGTATACTGTACAACAAAATGAATAACAAGACATTTCTTTTCTTTAAATTGAGTTTTAATACAAATTTAAGAACTGGCCCAAATTTTAAATCCTAAAATTAATTTATATTGATTGCATTTGAAATAGACTAGAGTATGAGGTCTCAACTCCAGTGACATCCTGAGGTAGAATATCTGATTTAAACTCACCAGTTTTGATTCCAAGAATACGCAAATTCCACAAGCAGGACCAGCTGTATTATAATAAAGACAAATCCTGCCACAAACCCAAAATACATAACAATTATGGCCCACTTATCTTCATGTGGAACAAAAAATGCACCAATACAAAGGCAGAGTAAAATGAGAAATTTAAATAACCAATACCTAAAAAAAACAAAAAAAATTTTTTAGCAATCTGCACATCAATTCATATAATCTGGAAGATAAATCAGAAATTTGTTGCACCCTTACAACAAAATTTTATGATATTTTTATAATATAATGAACATTGTTTAAATCACTCATATATATGAACATTGTTTAAATCACACATATAAAATGAACATTGTTTAAATCACACATATGAAATGAACATTGTTTAAATCACACATATAAAATGAACATTGTTTAAATCACGCATATAAAATGAACATTGTTTAAATCACACATATAAAATGAACATTGTTTAAATCACACATATAAAATGAACATTGTTTAAATCACACATATAAAATGAACATTGTTTAAATCACGCATATGAAATGAACATTGTTTAAATCACACATATGAAATGAACATTGTTTAATTCACACATAAAATGTACATTGTTTAAATCACACATATAAAATGAACATTGTTTAAATCACATTTGAAACTTTGGCGAGACAATTACAAATGACGTAGAATACTCATATATCAATTTTATTTGATTTGATGGCCTCTTAGAAAGCTTTAATACGTCAACAAAAACAAGACGTGAATGTCACAGTCCCCGTTATTTGATTATAAAGTAGTACAAGAAACATCTGCATACAGGTGAATGAATATGTACTCTATGTGGACACAACTCATGAATCAATGCTGTATTGGGCCATTCCAGTTTATATCTGCACCCCCCCCCCCTGTTGATGAGCTTGTGTGTTTACTTCATACAGGGTATAATTTCCATGGTTGTATAAGTCATACAAAGTTTTATTTCCAAATCACCATTCACCATACAGAATTGGAAATCCAAAACTATAGTTCCTACTTAT